AAACTTATAAACAAATAGACACATTAAACTTATAACAGTCACTTCTTCTCAAACAATTCTCTTTTTTCGTCGCAGGATAACAATCGTGCACACACACATTTATTAAGATGTAACAATAAAATACACTTATTTTTTTTACTACTTACTTTTAAATTTATAATATTCAGGCATAAAGGAAGAATACTTTACCACAATAAAGCAATAACATGAAGTAAATTAGATTATAATTTGTTTGATTCTGATTTGATGTATTAATTTAGACAAATCGAGTGTATATTCAATGCTACGTTAACAATCAGTAAAACCTCTAACTATTAGAGCTGTATAATTAACAATAATTATATACCCGTACGTTTAGTAACTCTACACCACTCGTTACTATATGGTCGTTCAGTTTCTAGTTACTTCTGATCAATGCACAGATTATCAGAATTAGATACCAAGGTGAACAACTTATTAGCCTGGGAATGTATTTCTTTTCCAAATGCTGGAGTTGTTTAATTTTTTGAGCATTAAATTTGGTTTATTTTATGCTTCTTGGCTATACCTATATACTAGATGTACTTTTTCTTTATAATAACTACGTAACTATAATAACTAGTTACCTTCAATAACGAAGTATCTATTATAGCTATAAATTACAGTACCTTAGCAGTTGCTAATACTGTCATCAGATAACTACAGTAATTAGTAACTAAAAAATACTGAAGTAACGACAACTTTGTCTTAATTACAGGTATTGTTGCCAAATTGAAGAGGAAATGCCACTACGCATCCTACGTTGTTGTAGCTCACTCATGGCTAAACGAAATATTTCCTTTGGAAAGTATACACTCTTTCTTGAGGAGATAAAAACCAACGCTCCGAAGAATACCCTTCCATTCTTGACCCTGCTGGTCAAGGAACTCTTTATAGACAGCGAATTCTAAAAAAAGGTGAGTACAATGTACGACGACCACTCTGCACTGCAGGTTGCAGTACCGCAGGTGTAACCACCAAGTATATAGCCCAAAACCCTCAATAAAAAAATACCGGTGTACCTACCAGTTACATTGTATGCGTACCGTTTCCAGCTCTACTAACTATGCCACCTGGGACAGTAGTGAGCATATTTTAATAAGGAGCGAGTTGAGCAGTAACTAGTTCAGGTAACGAGACGGCGGGGCACGTGAAATGAATACGGTTAGGATTTAGCAATTAAGATAATTGGTTGTTGCGGCTTCTATTACCTAGTTGGATTGCGAGCGACGACAGTACAGATCTACGAGATTGTTTACTTCAATTATTTATACTTAGAGAGCGTCGTAGTCGTAGTTATTGTTTACTCTCCTGAATTACACTTAAGAGGTTGTAAATTCAAATCTATTCCATACGAAAAAAATTGTGTATCAATTTGTGCACGCCGCAGCTTTTTAGACTCTTATAATATTTTTTATATATACTTTAAATACCTTTTTATCCTTTGTTCGATTATTATTGTCACATTTTGGATTATACGTCTTTTGCCATCAGCGACCTCAGTTTCTATTAATATAATCCTCAGTTTCGCTTGATATAAAATTATTATTAAATTGCATCATACAGTCCTTAAGAAATCCCAGTCGTTAAAACAATTTGTATTTCAGACTGAAACTTCGTTGGAACACCGTTGTCAAACCAAAAATAAACCGAGAGTCGGCGATCAGTGCTTCTAGCTACGTTGGATTCTAGTACGCCAAGTGAAGTGAAAGGAACGTGGTCATGATAAATGTTACGTTTATTATGACTATGCCTCTGACTACCCTATCTGTAACAACAGTCGTGACGATTATGTTCGTGGTTTTTTTAATAGAATACTGCTGAACGTTTCTTGCCATATAAATTAAAATTATAAAAAAATTGAGGTTGATGGTAGAAGGGTGAAAATTTAGGGTTGTATGTATTTTAATGCTACATTACAAAAAAATAATAATTAAAAAGTGTCCAAAAAATAAAAAATAAATGTTAGGGGAAGACAACCTTTATCATTTAGGGCTATGAAAAATAGATAGTAGCCTATTCTCAGACTTCCTGACTACGTATATAAAATTTCATAAAAATCGGTCAAACCTTTCCGGAGAAGTATGATAACTAATATTGTGACACGAGAATTTCATATATAAGATATATTAATATTTCTCCATATGGTGACGAAATAATAAAATTTAAAAATATCATAGATGCTACAAAAAACATTATAATTTCATTGCCATATTTATATTTCAATGTAAATATGGCAATGAAATTATAATGTATGTAATGAAATTATAATATATAGTATTAAATTTCAATATCACCCTTCAGGGGAAAAATAATGCTTTTATAGAAAAACTTATCGCATGCCTCTTACTTAATTAGTAATTATTTATATAAAAAAAACATCTATTCAAAAGAGCAACACACAAGTTTCTTGCTTATTCTTCTTGTGATGAATCTGCGTTCCGAATGAGTGCTAGAATCAAAATATGACTATTCAAAAGTGTTTTATTTCTATTTCTATTTCAAAAAGCAATATAGTTTAGTAGTTACAACCCTGTCCTAGACACCAGAGGTCATTGGTTCGAAACTGTTATATTAATGAAATATCACCATTTATATCTCTGACTGCCATTCCGATAATGGAAACACCGAAACCAAATTAATTCAAGAAACGGCGGTAAGCTCGTCCCCTGTTACGTTGAATTCCAATAGATCCAGCTAAATGTAGACTGTAAAAAGTACTTTTCATTCGCTGAGATTTTTTTACGCAATGCGGTAAATAATCTGTAGGTATCTACTACAGATACCTGTTATACAAACACGTGGAAATATTAAAAAATCACGACGATGATTATTGTAGTATGTATTAACCTTTTGATTCTAAATTCAAATTTACATTGTAACAATGAGTTTTGAATTATTTTTTTGTTTTTTTTTTCGTTTGTTCATTTCTCATTCAAAGCGAAATAAATAAAACGTAATCTCTGACGAAATATATTGCGTACGTTAATCATGTTTGCACAAACCTCCTTCCACATCCCGACGCAATATAACTGAACCACCAGACGGAGAGTCTGGTTTTTTTCAAGTTAATCCTGATAGGAAAAACATCTGTAATGAAATCTTTATTATCTTTATCTTTTATTAACAAAACGTCTTAAAAAACTTGAACAGGTGAATTCTATTTATTTACATGTTTTATGTTTACATGTGTTAAGATTTCACGTAAATACATCTGGAGAAATTAAGATGAAATTTTAATATAAAATGTTGCTAATTACAGGTCAACATCTTACTACTATTACAAACACGAAAGATTATGAGTATGGACGGAAAGATGGATGGGTGTTTGTTACTCTTTTACGTAAAAACTACAAAACGGATTCTGACGAAACTTTGCAGTAAACTTAGCTTATACATCAGAATAACACATAGGGTATAAATTTCATGCGTGTGAAATCACTGGCTAAAGAAATATTACAAAAATCATAATTGTCTTACCTCATCCATTTTTTGAGATTGGCGCAGTATGTTACCTTCTTTCAATGAACCCTAACGACTATATCATATCTGAGCTTACTCTTCTTTTATATATAACATAATCCATACCTCCAAAAATACAGGTGTAAATTAGCAATTATTTCTTATTAATTTTAAATACTATCCACACAAAAAAAAATAAAAAAAATACTATACACAATATTTAATTAATTTATTACAAATACTATAGATGGCATTGTACAAATAGTTTAATGATTATCGTCAATAGATGGCGTCTACGAATTTATACGATGACGAAATCGCGAGCACCACTAGTTTAAAAATAAATATTTTAAAATCTGATATAGCATCAATTAAATTTGTTTAGTTTGTATTCTATAGATAATAAACGATGTAGCCTGTGCCACTTTATATGTTTATATCCGCTATTAAGTTTGATGCGCCGTAAAAAGCCAGAAACGGTTCAGAAAATGATCTGACAAGTAGGTACTAACGAGACGTTACCCAAAATAATACTGCTACAGTCAGTTGAGTATAACGCATGATTATTATAAAGGAAAGAAACAAGAAAAATTAGTGGAGCGCTATTTGTAATTTCAGCTTTTAAAAAAAATCACCATTATCATCCGTACCACCTGGTTCAGCTAAGCACTTCAGTTGAGAAAACGTGACAAGAAAATGAACTGGTACATTTTTTAAATGTTGTCATTAAAGTTCCATCAAGTACCAACTATGAACATGCACATTATTCTCATCGACTACTGCATCCGAGAGCTGATGTTAATAATATCTTAATGACCATTAACTCAGATAGAGTCGTCAGAGGCATTGTTATCTGTTAATGTCATACTAACGCATCACAAAGCCATTGTTATATGCCGACGACGTAGTGAACGTATTATTTATCATGCTCACATTTCGATAGATGTTTTTTAATCTAGTGCTCCTCCACTCTCCCTCCTCCACCTCCTCCACCATCCACATGGATGGAGAGCAACAGTCGCCTCCCACCACGGGTCTTGCGGCAGCTGACAAGTATAAGGAATGAGGCCAGGAGTAGTCGCCACTCAAGGAGGAGTCTATCAGGATCCGCGCTATCAGGGTTCACGGTAGAATGTCACAGCGTATCTGTGACCCACGCACCAATTTTGATTTTTATACTACGACGTCGACAAGAGATACGGCTTATCTCATGGTAAACAGTTACCGTAACCTCTGGACGCCTGAAACACCAGGGGTACCGTACGCAGCTGACCCTTAAAAAACCCTAATATACCTTGAAAAACCCCATGCTGTAGTCTCTCGAGAAACCCACGGCAGTAGTTCATTCCACAATCTAATTAAAAGCACTTGTATGACACCTAGTTGTTTTTAGCCGGTAGGAGTCCAGTAGTATCTGTTTGTTTCCCCCGGGACAGACGGATCCTCATAATGGATTTCCCACAACAAAAAAAAAGTATATGGAAATCTAAGATGAAGATATACAAATTTATTTAACAAACCTGCCGATACTGATGAAGCACATGTGCATGATGCTAGCAGAGCAGGCCAGCACATCGCAGGTGACATACACATTGCACCATACCACACCGAGCGGCCAGTATCCTGATAGAGAATTCAGTCATTATCACAATGTAATTTATTTCGATTATCTTAATATTCAATTGCCCTCTCACTTTACGAACATTTGTATTCATGAGTATGATTGTCTTTATTTATCTAGGTGTTTTCTAAGAATATATATATACATATTCTTTTTGCAAATACATATGTATATATTTGCAAGAAGAAGTATTTAATTGTGTATTTATTTATATCAGTTGTCTAGTACTCATAATACAAGCTCTATTTAATTTTATAACTAGATGACGCTGTGTTAATTGTCCTGAACTATTGTTATTATTTTATTTTCTTCAATAGAATAGGCCATCGCGCTGTCTGCAGGCACAACTATGTTCTTTGCCAATACTGTAACTATTTATAATGAAGACTTTCAACATCAGTGAAAACCGAATTTACAAGAAAAAAAATCTTTTCTTTTTGTAATATAAGAACGACTATTTTACTAAATACAGGTAGTATGAGTTTGTTATAACGTTATCTACAAATTGCTTATAAGTGCTAGTAGATTTTATAAATAATTATTTTCATAAGTATACACACACGCATACAGTAAGCCATATAAAAAAATATTATAATAATCGTATTTAATACAAATACGATTTATATTATTTCAATATCTTTTATATGGCTTACTGTATGGCATTGTATGTATATTTCATAGTGTATAATTCTGCTTTCAAAAATTTTTTCACGAATGTTTTCTGACTTTATATTTTTCCGTAGCGAAATTTATCTAAATATATATATGACTTGGGGAATATATAAATTAATCGACATTAAATCTAAAAATATACGTAAAAATTTACGTTTATAAATGCATAAGTTTATTGTAAAAAAAAATACAAATGATGAATAATATTGTGGCGAAAATGTTCGCAATGCAAATTAACCCTTATTCTATAATCTGAGGGAGTCAGTGTATATGACATTTCATATTGCCACAGTGTGAAAATGTCAAACATAACATCAAAAGAGAACAGGAACAAAGCTATCAAACGCAATCAAACATTGATACCATGAACGAAATAGCTTTGAGACAGCAAATACCTATCGTGTATTCAAAGAAATAGGAAAACGAGTTTCAATGTTCTCCATGCTTTTGATAAATGGTTACAGCATTTATCAAACTTTCACTGGGGATATATTCCTCGTCTGGGAAACACCGTTTTACTTATTTCTATAACTTCCTTTTGGTATCAGTATTAGTACTAACACCATTTATTGAGAAATATAAAAGTCTGGTGGTGAACATTTAATTTATTTACTTGTTTATATTTTGACTTCCTAATCTTTAGATTATCCGATTTGTTATTATTATTTTTATAAAAATAACTCAGGACAATTCACACAGGGCCATCTAATTCCAAGATAAGCAGAGTATGTGTTATGGGTACTAGACAACTAATAGAAATACATAAATATTTTTAAATAAATACCTACATAATCTTATACATAAAATTCTCGTGTCACAATGTTAGTTACCATACTCCTCTGAAACGGGTTGACCGATTTTTATGAAATTTTATATGCATATTCAGTAGGTCTAAGAATCGGCTGATATCTATTTTTCATACCCCTAAGTGATAAGGGTTGTCCACCCCTAACATTTTTTTATGTGTCATTAAAAAATACATACAACCCTAAATTTTCACCCTTCTATCACCAACCCCTATTTTTTATAGTGTTATTAATTTATATGGAAATACAACGTATGCCGGGACAGCTAGTATACATAGAAAATACCCAGATCAATTCAAACAATCATATTCATGAATACAAATATTTGCATCGTACGAGCACTTTAACGAACCGGAACCATCGGAAGTAAAACTTCATTCATAACATTCAACGCTTATTAAATTTTCTCAGTCGGTCAGTATTACTGTAGTAGTACATAAACATTAATTTTTATATACTACCATGACCCTGTGTTTATTGTCCAGGGTTATTTATTATTATTATTATATTTTTTTGTAAATATATAATAATATATACCCAGACTGATACAAATGGTCATACTTATGAATACAAATGTTTGCACCGTGCGAAGAATCGAACCCGCTATTGGAAGTAAAGCGGTATGCTAAACCGCTAGAACACCGATACTGTCAAATTAGTGAAATTTTAATGCAACTTACCTAAAAATCCAGGTATTGCCCCCATTGGCATCACGAACAAGCTGACAAGCAGATCCGCTATCGCCAGCGACAGCAGAAAATAATTTGTCACATTCTGCAATCTTTTATCCAAGCACACAGCCAAACAGACCAATATATTACCAACTCCACCCGCTACTATAAATAATATCACAAATAGAAAACTCCAATCATATCCCGTTTTGCTTCCTACTGGATCGCCCGATGCGTTACGAAAGTTCCAACCACATTGAAAACTGTCGACTATATTATTTACAATACTGCTATTACCAACGTCAATGTACAACGTTCGATTAAAATTCTCACTATAACACAGCAAGGTGTCCCAATCACAAATGTCATAATACGGCAGTCGTACCCACAGGCTCTTTAAAGCACTCCCGAAGACCACCGTGTACATGTTCAACTTGAATCCAATGTTACATAAACTACCGTTAATAAAGTCCATCGTATCATTGATACATGCAATGCAACTGTAGAGTGTTTCATTTTGAATATCAATATTTAATTCGCAATTGTAAAATACTGATTGACCGTCTGTTTTACAATCTAGTCCTGGATATGTTGTGTTCCCACAACCCTCACCACTGGTTAAGTGACAACTCAAATCCTGGCTTGTGTACAGAAAGGTGTAATTCGTCATATCCAGTTTCTATACCATGACGATGCTAGGTCACATCTGAAGGCATTTTTGTTTGACATCACTGGACTTTCATTACTGTTCCATCATCTGCAACAATGGAAATATTTGTTTAATAAAATTTCATTGTATAAATACATACACTATATATTAGATACACTCTAGACGCACGCCTAATACTGCATGAATTATAAATTCTCAAATTTTATAAAATGGACTTTTACTTATATTTATTTATATTTAATGTCGACTTCCTAAAATATACAATTTAGAATTACCGCATTTTAGTGTTAAGCATGCGTAAATGAACCATGCATTCGTGTAGATTTTTTTTGCCGCCTGATAGTCAGGATTCCTAAAATTACTGCCTAATAATTTTATTCTATCTAAATAAAAACATCGAAGAGGACAGTGATCAGTACATATGTCAAATAGGTGAGATGAAGCATCAATCTCACCTATTGTTACTATAAAAAATCGCCAATGAACTTTTTTTTTTGTTTTAATTTCTTTTTAAATTTAGGGACTTTTGTACCATCTAAGTACATGTCAGTCCCATTGTACCCTAAAACCAATCACTCCATTACCTCACCAGTGAACAAATTGCCTTAGCCGCACCGCCCGAAGGATCGGCTAAAACAGTTTGTATGGCACCAACATCTAATATATTTATTTCATGGTCTGACGTTATTCCATGTCGTAGACTCTCGTTCCTGACACACTCCATCAGCATATGATAAACATTTGATACTGTCATTGAAAAATATTCAGAACACAAGGTTAAGCAATGTAACCGTATAACTTTGATATTTGTTACGGTACATAAACTAAGGCAGCTGCTCGATCATTAGGCGGATTTGCTTCGATGTAAACTAATTATTAAGATAATACTTTAGTATCACAGCTCTGAAGGTTTCAGGTCGACATATAATGGTTTCATGCAAATTTTAAACTTCCCACGTTTTTCAAATCGAAGCTTTATAAAATATACCGAGATCAAATTACAGGCGACGTAGTTAGAGTTGAGAAATGAAATTTTAATCATATTTTTCCAGACCGCGTTCATAATGCAGTGGTGGGATCAAGTTGATTTGAAAGAAAGTGTCGGTATAAAAATGAGAAATGGCACGAATAAGAATATTGGATGAAAGGACGACGAAATAAATATCTACCCACATTGCAAAATGTGAAAAAAATACAGGTAAGGAAGGCTAGCGTCTCATACTTATTAAAGTTTTCTTATTATATTATATCTGAGAAACAAATCAAGTAATCCTAAATCTGGCAGGGTATATGTTTGAGTAATGAGAAAATTTATAAAGCAATAGTATCTTACAATAGAGTCATAGCAATTCGTTCTTTCCGTTCACCCCATAAAGCACCTAGCGCCAAATAAAACAGAGACCTTTTTAATTTTGTATATGTTTAATATAATATCGTGGACAATTCACAAAGTGCCATCTAGTTTTAATCTAAACAGAGCTTGTGTTATAATTACTACACAACTTACAGATATACTTGGGTAGTTGTATATTTTTAGTAATTCATAGGCACATAGTATACATAAAAAACATCCAGACTGATACAAACAATCATACATATAAATACAAACGATGCAAAGAATTGAACCCGCGACCATCGGAAGTACAGCAGTGTGCTAAACCGCTAGACCACCGAGGCCATATATATATACGAGTACAACAGTCCTGAGTGTAATAAAAAACCTTCTGTAAATGACTTTTTCACATTTACTTTTAATTACACACAAAGGAAAGTTACGAGATGTTTTAAAACCCAAAATGAAAAGTATAATGGATAAGTAATGTTTATTTCTGTGTTCTGAAATTAGGTCGGGAACGACGGCGGCGGTAGACGCTTGTGTACAATGTTATCCCTTGATTTACTTACGTTTTTTTCCATTTTTTCATACAAAAAGACAAATAAGAACTGCTTAATGGACTGAGTGTACGTAGTTCAGGTTTCAGTTATGTCTTATTTGGTTTCCTTTTAGGAAAATACTAAGCTTAGATACTAGTCCGCACTAATATTATAAATCTAAAAATGTGTCTGTGGATGTCTGTTGTTTGTACTTGACGAGTATACAGTAGATTTTTTCATGAGATAAAAAATATATCTCAAATAGGTTGAAATCGTGAAGAACAGCTATTTTTATTTTCTCTAACTTCGCAATGAACAATCTAATAAAGATGAAATGTACAGAGAAATTTGTTTTTAAAATAGACATTGAGACATTGAATGAACAATTTATTCGATTATCATTCGTGTCCATTCATAACTTGTTAGAAAATAATTCAATATTGATTTTCACTGTATTTTATTTTGTTTTATATAACTGGAATTGCAGTTATCCAACTGGGACGAGGAAAATGAAAAAAAATATATTTTTATTGTGTAGTTTTTTTTTTATATAGAAAAATATCTGATCTAAGTAGCTACTGATAAAATACAGTTAGTAACAGATAGTTATCCGACTACAACAAAGAAAAAAATTAAACATCTGTCTATTTATTCTACACTATTTTTCGTTATAGTAATATATTTGGTCTGGATAATGAAACACCGACATCCTCTAAGATTTCTTGATACTTTTCATACGTGTCCATTAAACTAATCTAATCTGGTGTAATAACTAGAATTAAGAACTTGTTTTTGGAGTTTCCAGTTGTGCCTTCTTTTATAAAGTTATTTTGCTTTTTGTTTGTTGTCAATCCTTTTAGGACTCTAGCTACTAAAAGTACCAAGCATAAAGAATGGTTAATTATCCGTTAATAACGAAAAATGCATTTTTAACCGCTCTATATCTTCCCATCTATAGTGGTAACCCTAAAGCGCTGCAATTCCAGGCAACAAAGGTGTCATGAATACGTACTGTTATTTCACGCTCATACCTGCAGTATTCTTCAACTGAAACACATTTTACAAAGCAAGTTGCTTGACGGCAGAAATTTTGTATAAAGTTTATTTAAGTTTTATTTAAGTTAAATACTGTTACCGCAAGGAAATTTCAGCTCAAATGATAAGTGAATAAAGAATTTATTCGATGTACAACTTCATAGATAATAAATCAAATATTATAATTGACTTTCACTGTACTAATATTCGCAGACCTTCCTTCTCAAATATGACCTTATTAACCCATTCCTCACCCTATGTCACCTTGCCCTCTAAATTATTATGTAAAGTGGCCCCACTACTTAAGTGTAGCAACTATGTACCTCCATTAAAGCGAACTTTAAACGTGTTTCAATCTGGTCAAAGGGAGTTTTAGCTTTGAATAGTAGAAAGTTAATATTTTCTGAACATATACCCCTTTAAATAGCGGTTTATTATGATAATGCGTTGCAGGCTTCTCCTAATTGCTTGTCCTGAATTAATAAATATTTTTCCCCGAATTTACAGTTTAAATATTTTATAGGGATTTTTTTAATATATGTTTCACATCTTATATCAATGTCAAAATGGTTTTATCTCTATGATTGTAAAAGAGTTAAAGAATTGTTATAGTATTAATGTATGTATATTTATTAAAGCTTTAATGCACAAAGACAATATTTATGTTCATATAGCGAACTTAATACCAAAGGGCATTCTCTATCGGTAAATCAGAAGGTAAACTATAGGCGCATATAATATAAGATGATGTCCATGAGTCAGCTTGTTACCATTCTAGTTACATAAAAAATGGTGCTATGTATCAAGTAATAAAATGTGTAATAAGGTTTACCAATGTATAAACTAATTTCAAGTCCCTTACTGTCAAGATTAGGATACCAAGACAACGAACATATTCGTTTGGATAATTTCCATAGCACGGTACCCAGTGAGAGCGATTACAAAAAGAAATGTGTTATAATTATTATTTAAGTATTTCAAATTATTAATTTAAGTAGACTACCAACGAATGAATATAAAATATACCAAAATTAAATTGTTCACAATTTATTCCTTTGATAAACCTTAAAATACCATTTTTTAATCGAAAGTAACTTATACGGTTATACTCCTCTTTGTTCTTTGTTTTATCTCATTGTGCCACGAATCATTAAGCAAAAAATTATTCGTTGTATATGTACTTTCAATTAACTTTTTTTAAATTGGAAGGACTAGCTGTTTTCCGCGTCTTTGTCTGGATTATTAAAGGAAAGTTAGAATAGATATATTTGTTATTATCCGTCCTATTCTATTTTAACTGCAACCTTCATTAAGATCTGTTCTGCCATTTAAACATAGAGTGGATATAATGATAAGGACTCCATATTAGAGACACTTACATATATACTACCAAATATATTTAGATTCCATTTTGGAATAATTGGAATTACAAACAAGTTGATGGTCCGCTTGATGGTAAACAGTAACCGTCACCTGTAATCAACAGTACTATAGACATTACGTTGTCATGTGAAACCCGTGATATCACGCAAACGTTGCCATTTTGAGAGGACTAAGATGTCTGCATCTTATCCTGGAATTTCACTCTACAGTCGACACTCACAGCTCACTAAGCAAGTTACTTGACGACTGAAATAGAAATTATAAAACATATTGTATTTTTATTCATTACTGTTGCGTACAGTAAAGCAGTAACAAAACGCAACACCGAAGGAGCGTTCTGAATGGAGCGCATCCATTTTGAATTCTCTATACATCGGACAAACTTTAAAATTTGTAATAGAGGCAACGTGCTTTTCATTTTCACTCACCTTTTCCTTCATAAGACTAATCTAAGCAAAATCTTGTAATTTCTACACCCGTAATCTGCTGAAGCCAGCATCACGTAGCAATTATAAAAAGAGAGTGTTTGGACATCGTCGGCTCGCGCGTTTAAAGTATAATACATATTTAATTATACAAAATTACAATCCGTATAGTATTTCATATAGAAAGTCCTTAGCTCTAGGCTCGAAGGATCATAAACTGTAGGGTCCTACCCTACAGTTTATGATCCTTCGAGCCGGATATCTTAAAAATAGATATCTAAAAACATTATATAACACCAA